CCGGCTACTAAGCACTTTGCAGACAGGAACTCTTTTTGTGTGACTCTCCTGGGAAGGCAATGTTTTATGAGATGACAGAAATGTTGATGGGCATATGAGCGTTTGTGCTATGTAAAAGTGTACCTGTATACCTGCTGACTGGTCCAGTGGAACATTGAAACCGTGATGACTGCCTGCACCACCTGGTTTTAGGAGCCATTTCTCTGAGGGATCTTTATATGCTTTGTGACCCTGCAGGGTCGTGAAGGGGAGGTGAGAGGCCATTGCAGTCATTTTTGGATCACATCGATGGTGTGCAGTCACCCACATCTTGTATGATCAGGAGGATTGTTGCACAGAATAATGGACTTATGACACCAATATTTTCAATGACCATTTGTTTATGTCCACTATTTTGCACGGTCTATACGTCTTTTGATCCCCCAATAGGGATTCACCTGTTGACTGTGTCCCAAACCGGGTACCAGGGGTCACTATTTAATATCCCCATGTGGATTGGGGTCACTATTGTGTATGTATCACTAGTTATGGTCCATTATAGGACCATTGTTATATGAAGTTTACACCTTTTGTCACCTATTATTGTTGTTGCTTCATATTTTAGCACGGCATCAATTATATTTACTTACAACATTTTACTTACCTTTTTTTTTTTTTATCTTCATCACATAGGGGACATTGTGTCCCCTATATGGTGATTTTTTTAGGTGACAGGTTCTCTTTGCTGAGGCATGCAGAGTCTAAAAGACCCTGCGTGCATGTTTTCACTAGAGGTCTTGCCCAGCAGATCGCATTGCAATTCATGTATCCCCGGCAATTCACCGGTAATGGGGGGCCCTAGGGAAGCAATTGCACAGCAGTGCAGCTAATCAACTGCTTCCACCCGACAGGCAATAGTATTAATATACACAATTAATATACACAATATACACGGTAGCTGCACCGAATTGTGGATAAAACCCCCCGAGGTCAGGTCTGCACGACGTACGGACCTGGCGTTGAAAGGGTTAAGGAGCGTACAATTTAGGTTCCCTAACTCGCATTCATTAAACACACACACACACACACAACACACACACACACACACTAGGGCCAATTTAGACAGGAGCCAATAACCTACCAGCATGTCTTTGGCGTGTGGGAGGAAACCGGAGTACCTGGAAGAGAACATGCAAACTCCAAGAAGGTGGTGCCGTGGTTGGGATTCTAACCAACGAACCTAGTGCTGCCAGGCGTAAGTGCTAACCATTTAGCTACTGTGCTGCCCCACACATTTCATTTAAACTTTTTTGCTTTCACGAGGGGGCCCAAGATACCCCTATGTGATAGCATGGGCAGGTGATGGATACTATTTACAGAGATATCGGAGATCTGTTAGACCCTCAATGTCTCCCCTGCCCTCCACTACAGCTGATCAAGAACAGATAGTGCTTGACTATATTGCAATAGCTGTGCAATGACAGTAAAATCAAAAGTGATTAAATCATCCCTTCCAGATTCATTTAGTCAGAGGAGATCAGATGTTCCTCCATCTCAACTGGATCCAAATGTTAAAGCATGTTACTGCAGTCCCAGGCTCCCCAGCCCTTCTCACTACTGCAAAAGTGATCTGTAGAGCTGCCCAGATCACTTTTACTGAACAGCTAATGAGCTTGTTTTAACTTCAAGCCCAGGACAATTTAAAATATAACCTGACATTTACTTTTAAAAAGTGTTACTAAACCCACAACAGTAAATAAGTCTGTATATGCAGTAACGCATGCTTGTTATACTCACTGTGGAACCTAAGGGGTTAATCCTCCACACTGTTAAACGGCTGTTTAATCCTGTCTTCCCTGACCCTCCCCTTCTTCCACAGTCCCCAATCCTTCTGCATATAGTACACAACCCTAGGAAGTACTCTGCACATGCTCCATTTGGTGTATTTCCAGAGCTTTTTGGGAGGGTGCATGTGATCGGCACAGGGCTAATCAGCACTGTCCACACAGAGTGGCAGGCATCATGCAGCCTGATAGGACAGCCAGAGCAGAATGATAACTCCTCCTACAAGCTTTAACCAGTACTCGGCCAGACACTGATAGAAGTCACAAGACTGCTATATACTGCTGATGAGGAAAAAGGTATTTAGCAGTTTATATTTACTAAAATAATTCAAGTTCTATTTTGTGGGAGACCAGATATAGTGAATGCAGGGTCCTGGGTTTAGTAACACTTTAAAAGGATAAGTTCACCTTTGGAACGGGTTACATTTGCCACCCGTTTTTAGCAGCTCCACGTACTATCAGATTTGAAAAAAGCATGGCCGTGCGGGGCTCTGCCCACAGCCACATCACTTATTCACAGAGTTCTGTGAATGAGAGCCTACAAAGTCCCGGCAACCTTAGCGGTTGTCCACTTGAAGTTTTCAATGAACTACCACAGCGCTGTGGCGTGCCATGGTAGTTCATTGAAGCTTCCTGTCAGAATATCTGCATGGCATCAACAATCTACTGATCGCTGGTGCAACGCTTTACAGGCTCCTTTGGCCAAAAATAATAAATGCACATTTTTTTTTCCTGCAAAATAAGTACATTTTTTTTTTTTATTTTGCAGGGAAAAAAAAAATGTGCATTTATTATTTTTGGCCAAAAAGGTGAACGTATCCTTCAAGCTCTGCAACTAAAAACAGGAGACAATTAAACATTAAAGCGACCCAATCAGAACAGGAACACTTGGTATATAAAAGCATACCTGTAATGAGAGGCAATAGCTGTACCAGTCTGTGGAAACACCACCTTTTTGCTGATTCCCAATCACTGCCAGTGTTAGACCAGTTGAATAGGTAAAATACCCGCTTCTCTTACCACTTACAAGCTGGTGAGTAGAACCATTGCAAGTCCTGTTGAGAAGTTCAAGTCAGCAGAAGAAACTGCAGGTGGCAGGGGAAAAAAAGGTATTCCACACACCTGAATAGTAACACATGCAGTGGTACTATACTGCTTCTTATTACAGTTATATATACAAAATGTGTTGACAGGATCACTTTAGGGTCTAATGCAATAACTGAGGCCAAAAACCTGGTAAAATGTAAAGCAAAAGAACAAAGAAAATTGGTAATTGTGGTGTGTGCAAATTTCAATACACATTAACATTTGCAAACATGTTGCTTAACAGTTTCCAGCAGTAGTTCACTTACGAAATTAAAGCAGTATTAAATCCAAAAATATATTGTGGCCTAACAAAATAAAAAAAAAAAAAAAAAAAAAAAAAAAAATGCAGCCACCACCTTTTTAAAGGCTCCCCCTCTGTATTTTCACCTGGTGATCCAGCCAGTAACATACTCCCTTCTCTTGGGGTAGATCCTCAATCTATGGAAGAGCAATGGAATCAACCTTGGACAGAAGCACTTTCTGGAGAGGGTGGTGTACTGGTAGATTTAGACCGACTTTACATACGGGACTAATAATATAAAAAACAAAAACACTAAACTCACTTTTTTTATCAAATACAAATACAGGTATAATGTACCTTCCTTTTTAGCTTTCAAAACACAAGCTTTTGTTTCCTGCTACCTACGTTCTCCATACCCTAACAGTCTATGAATGTAGCCATGTGTTCCATTCCTGTTCGTTCCAAATATGGACCCCACTCACACACCTCTGTGCAGATGCATTCAGTGCTATGGGAATTGTAGTAAGTGTAGCAAGTGTACAGCAGAGCACAAGACCAGAAATAACAGGCACTGCTCACTCTACAAAAGTAGTAGTGAGGTGTAACGACAAAGGATTGGGAGCACAGACAGGACAGAAAAAAAAAAAAAAAAGGAAGCCGGAAGGGGGGGGGGGGGGGGGGTAAGAAGACCCACACAACACACTAAGATGGTTGAAAGATGGAAACACACACTTGTAGAATACTTTTAGAACTGATAGGAGGAAAAAAAAAAAAAAAAAAAAAAAAAAAAAAAAAAGTATAAATCCACTGTATTTACAGGCATGGATATCAAAGCAAAGAAGGCACAAATGTTTATCAACCACCACACAAGCTCAGTTTTTTGTTAAGTAGGCATCAAGTACTGTAGTAAACGTGATCTGGGCAGCTATAGAGCTGCATGATCTGGGGAATCCTGCAAGTTCTGTAATGTCCACTGAAGAGTGTGAACCTGAAGTGTTCAGAGCTCTCCAAACCCCAGCAGCAAAACTGGGTAGTGTATAAAGCAGTCTTATCTTAATCAGCTGGAGCAGAGGCAGGGGAGACAGAAGTCTAACAGACATTATCTGTCACATGGCCACATATCTCATGTGGCACTGAAAATGTCAATTCACTATTGCAGTGTGCAGTATTTACCAAAAACGCTTGGTAAATACTGCATAAAAAGAACTTTTGCAGGCCATAGACTGGTCGTTTATCGGCCAAATTTTCATCCGAACGAAAAATCGTCTGATATTCACACCGTTAGTGGGACAATGCCGTCGGCAGTTTTTCACGGATCTTCTCGTTTTGTTTTTATCTGTCATGCTGGAAAAAAACAGCCATTTTTTGTAAGCATTGGTGGCAGCAACGACCGATTTTTCGTTTATCGGCCAAATTATGGCCAGCCTTAGTCAATTCACAAAAGGAAATAAATGCATGTGGTAATTAAGTAGTGGTCCAGGAGTGCGGTATGTACTGGATCTGTATGTAACTGTCATGGGTTGTTAGAGAATGGGTGGTCGCTGCGTCCTTAACCACTTGCCTACCAGGCACTTATACCCCCTTCCTTACCAGGCCAATTTTCAGCACTGCCGCACTTTGATTGACAATTGCGCAGTCATGCAACATTGTACCCATATGAAATTTTGATCATTTTTTTCTCACAAATAGAGCTTTCTTTTGGTGGTATTTAAGCGCCACTGGGCACTTTACTTTTTGCGCTATAAATAAAAAAAGTGCAAAAAATTTGAAAAAAAAAAAAATTTGTTTCTTTTATAAAATTTTTCAAACAGGTATTTTTTCTCCTTCACTGATGTGCGTTGATGAGGCAGCACTGATGGGCACTGATAGGCGGCACTGATAGGCAGCACTAAAGGGCACTGATAGGCAGTACTAATGAGGTGGCACGGATAGGCGGCACTGATAGACAGCACTAATTAGGGGTCACGGATAGGTGACACTGATTATGGGTACTGATAGACGGCACTGACTGGCATCACTGCTGGGCACTGACTGGCGGCACTGACTGGCACAACCCCTGGGCACTGACTGGCAGCACTGCTGGGCTGCACAGGTGGGTGGGCACAGGTGGGTGGCACTGCTGGGCACATGTAGGTGGCACTTCTGGGCACAGGTAGGTGGCACTGCAGAGTGGCACAGGTGGGTGCACTGCAGAGTGGCACAGGTGGGTGCACTGCAGAGTGGCACAGGTGGGCGGAGCTAGTGGGCGCACTGCTGGGCGGAACTTGCGGGTGTCACTGCTGGGCACCGATCATCAGGGCACTGATCATCAGTGCCGATCCCCGCTCTGACAACTGCCGGTTCTCGGCAGTACTTTCCTCACGATCTGACAGCGTGAGGAAAGTGCAGCCGAGAACCGGCACTTGCATTTCCCTGTGATCAACGTGTCATTGGACACCGCTGATCACGTGGTAAAAGGCCGCTGTGATTGGCCTTTTACCACATCACCTGATCAGCTGTGTCCGTAGGACACAGCGATCACGGAGAGATTGCCGGGTGCGCGCCCCCTGGGGCGTGCAGGAGAGCGCGTTCTGGGAGGACGTCATGACGTCCACCCAGAACTGGCCGGCCGCGGTGAAGCCGTCATTCGGCTATGCGCGGTCGGCAAGAGGTTAAGCTATGAATCAGCTTCCTAAAAGGTTTGGGGGGATCCCCCCCATCCAGACCAAGCCCTTTGGTCGGGTATACATTGAGGCAGGGTCTGAGTGGCTGGGGGATTATCGGAATCTGGAAGCCCCGTCTAACAAGGGGGCACCCAGATAACATCCCCATATGTGAATGAGTATGGGGTACCACTACTCATTCACAGACAAAAATAAATAAATAAATATGACAGTAGACAGTCTTTGACAAGTCCTTTAATAAAAACAAGAAACATCCCCTGAAGTAGATCCTACAATCACAATGCCCACCGCAAGCAGAGACCAAAAAAAAAAAAAAAAAAAAAAATTAAAAGTGATTCCACTCAACGCTGGCTCCTTCCGTCTGACCGCTCCATCAGCGACCCCTCCCTCTCATGACAGCCAGATGGCCCCACCCCTTAGATATTTAAGAACTGTCAGGACGGGGGAGCTAGTGTCAAGTGCACAGCCCTCCCCCCACACCCTGCTTTTTTCGGGTTGGCAGTGGGCATCGTAATAGACGTTGGATCTACTTCAAGGGACTTGTTTAATAAAAAGGATTTGTCAAAGACTCATTTTTTACACTACACTTTTTTTGTTAATGGGTATGGGCTACCACTACTCATTCATATGGGGGGGGCTGGGGCAGGATCTGGGGGCCTTGTTAAAGGGTGTTTACAGATTCCAATAATTCCCCTACACCCACAGACCCTCAAAACCACAGGTCAGGGTTGTGCGAAGAGGTCCTTTTTTTTGTAAATCATTTTGGTGTGGGGTTCCCCTCAAAATCCATACCAGACCCTAAAATCTCATGTTCTATTTTAGTTGTGTTTTTTCAGTGAATGCAAAGTTTTTTTAAAAAAAAAATTTAAATGCTGTGCGGTATCTTACTACATATTCAGATGTGGTAAGATACTGCTTAGTGAATTGTCCCCAGTATCTGTCACCTGCCCAACACTAGCATGCTTTTTATTTTTAGCACCTTTGTGAGAAAAAAAAAAAAAGTTTTTTTTTTGCTAATTAATTCAATTATTAAAATTATAAAAACACATTTTTAAAAGCATCACCGTAAATTGAGCAAGGCAATGTTGGCTGTTGCCATGGACTCCATAGTGAAAATGTGGGGTTTATTTATGGTTAAGTCTAATCTGATGTAAAAAAGGCATGTAAAGTGTTGCCTAATATTTTAGGTACAGTGGTTTACCACCTTTTGTAGGCTCAGGCAGTTTTGAGGTTCCACATATTTGTTATCCATTTATTCGACAACCTCTTTTTGTTCCCCAAAAAACCTGAGATTGTGCGTGCACATATTTTTGCCAAACTATAGATTTGTTAAACTGCACAAATATTGTGCAACATAAGAAAAAAAAAATTGGGGGAGTTACGTTCTTTTCTAGCAAAAAATGCAGATTAACTTGTGTGCAAAAACAATTGGTCTGGTAGCAAACTGGTTCTTCTGGTAATGCAACGTCAATCTTGTGACATAAGACACTGAAACCGGGATATTGAGCCATCTACCATGAGATTGCAGTTTGTTTCATAATTTCTTGCTCTACTATAAGCACTGTGTTAATATACAGGTGAAACTTGTGCACCTTCCACGCTTTTCCCTTCCACCTAACTTTCTATTAATGTGCTTTGATACAGCACTTTGGGAACATCCAACTTCTTTTGCAATTACCTTTTGAGGCTTTCCCTCCTTATGGAGGGTGTCAATGATGGTTTTCTGCACAACTGTCAGGTCAGCAGTCTTTCCCATGATTGTGATTCCTACTGAACCAGACTGAGAGACCATTTAAAGGCTCAGGAACCCTTTGCAGGTGTTATGGCTTAATTAGCTGATTAGAGTGGGACACTTTGAGCCTAGAATATTGCACCTTTTCACAATATTCTAATTTTCTGAGATTGTGGATTTGGGGTTTTCATGAGATGTAAACCATTACAATTATGACAAATCACGGCTTGACCTATCTTGCTTTGCATGTAGTGAGTCTCTCTCATATATTAGTTTCACCTTTTAAGTTGCATTACTGAAATGAACTTTTGCACGATATTCTAATTTTTTTGAGTTTCACCTGTATATTAACACAGTGCTTATAGAAGAGCAAGAAATTCACCTGTACATGACCACTTTCTAGGCAAGCATGTGAAGTGCAACACTAGATACATCAGACACACTTAAAACTATCAGTCAGCAGTGCCAGTGAGTCTTGCTGACCATATCACATTAAAAGCAGGGCTTGACAAATTTGCTTTGAACCTAGGAACCAGCTAAAACAGGAGCCAAGAACGTGAGATGCATTTCCAAGCATGATGTTAATGTTAGACAGGCGCGATCCTTTTTTGAGCTTGAGAAAAGAGGGTACCTGTCCAACACGAATAGTTAAGTCCCACTTTAAAACTCACCATACAACTGGATTGTACAATCTCCTTAGATCTTCCATCAACTAAGTGCTACAAAGGCCTGCCTGATTGGAAAGCATTGTTTAGATAGGTCCTCAAATTTTGGCAACCCTATAGGAGATTACCCAGAGACCGTACAATGTACATGGGCAGCTGAACACAGGAGTGGAGGAGAGCCTGTGTGGTCTTTGAAGCAGAAAACATTAAACAGAACACTAGGTTGCCTATGCAGCTGAATTACAGTCTTGTAGATCCGTTGGCTGGAATAAAGTTAGTGATGTCAGCAGCCTGGAGGTAATGACAGACTTTGTATGGCCTCTCCCACCACCCAACACCTACACTCCATGGCAGTCCATCCCGGGTCGCTCTGACCACATGAAGCTGGAGGTATGGCCTGCAGTGCGAGTACCAGCCCCAGCTCTGCAGACACCCCCTTGCCATCTGTCTTCTGATCCCTCCCATCAGATAAGTCCACTCATACAGATGTCTGTGTACCTGTCATCAGGCCTGCACACTAGAAGACAAACATGGCACAGTTCTGTCCCCAGTGTGGCAGACATCTTCCCAAAAAGCAGCCATGGTGTTCTATGCCATTGGTCTTCAAAAAAGGACTTCGCCCCACAGTGTAAATGGTAGAGCCATAGACACATACGGACTTCACTACTATTATCCTTATCTATTGTAGACAGGGTTTTTTCTCTTTTCAATGGGCTGACAAAAGCCCCAAAGCCAGGACGCAATTTCTAGTCACCATGGCAACCTACAAGCCCTACATTAAAAGAAACAGAAAACCGTTCAGTACGGAGGTGGTTTGGATTCCAGCATGTTTTATTAAAGAGATTCTAATTTTTCATTTATATAAACAAGTCAAATACTTGCTCTGTGCAGTGGTTTTGCATAAAGCAACCCCCAAACTACCTCTTTCTGGGGTCCCCCACCAGTGTTCTTGGTTCCTCCTCTTTGGCAACTGCCTTCATAGAAAGCCACTTGCAATGGGGCCCACTTTTACAGGCTCAATCCCAAGCCACGCTGCCTGGGGGCAAACCTGAGGGCTCAGGTAAGTATTTAGGGGCAGCTGAGAATCCTGATTGCAGAGCATGCAACAAGGTAAAAAAGCTTAAGCCTTCAGAATCATTTTTTACCAGTCACATTACATACGAATTATCAGTAAAGTGCTTTTACATTAATTTTCCCATTCCTGCATGCATGTCATTATCCAGCTGGCAGAAAATGATGTATGTGCACCACTGGCTAGGACTACAGACAACATCCTTTGGCTGGCTGTAATTTGAATATTAATGTTCCCTTTCAAGTTGCCCATGCAGGACACAATGTTCTCCAACAAAGGCCAGAAACTCAATTTCAGCTGTCATTGTCAGTTAAGCTCTCCAGTGAAAATTGGAAATCAAAGTGGATCCTGATCATGTGATCATTATGTCACCTCTGACATGGTGATTAGATTGGCTGCAGGCAGGAAGCACTAAAGGGTGGTGAGCCAATCCGCAGTATGGAGTGGGGGATTAAACAGATTGTGGAAAGCTGAAGGATAAGAACGCAAGAGGGGAAGTAAATTTGAGTTAGTGCATGATGTTTTATATAGTGCTGTGTACTAGTTTTTATCTTTTAGATTAAAAAGCTGTGAAGATTTTAAGCCATGTGTGATTCCATTATGCTTTTTGGTTCATATGCCAAGGTCCTACAGCAGCCAATATAAGGAGCCTGCCACCTGGGATCTAGCTTTGCTGAAAATTATCCTACTTAACTGGATGAACTCCTAATATGAAAAAAAGCACTTTTGTCTGACTTGAAAGAGGCAAATGAGAGGGTGTAAAATTTTAAGATCGTGAAAGATTCAGTATCCAATTATTCCTCCATGTTTGGAGATTGATACCTTTGTCACATTGTTGCAACTGTGTTTTAGCACAGCCTTCAAAATTTCCACTCGTCCTCTTGCATGGGGAGTGGAAACAAGGTGAAGGGGGGGCTCCGAGACTAGGGGTGTGTGGGAGGGGGGCGGCAGTGGACACACTTACAAGCAGCAACCTCTTGTATGTCTTTCAATGAAGCAGCTGAAAGCCGTGGGAGGGAGAGAAGCAGCTTCATTGAAAGACATACAGGAGACCACAGCTTGTCACTGCCCTCACCGCTGCACCAAGCATCCTGTTGCTT